GCTATATGAATGTTATTGAGTTACACTGTTTTTAACAATAATCTGAATTTGATTATTATATTTCAGACGTACTAAAGTTGAGTTATTTTTACCAGTTGCAGGCGACAGATTCAAGAAGCGTTGAATCAGCAAACTTATCATCAATTCCGGGCATATGCACAGCAACAATTTGTTGGTGATCCTGTACAAGTAGGCTAATCATTTTTAGTAATTACATTCATTTGGACACGAGTTTCTTTCCATTCATTGATTCGTGTTCGTTGATTTTTTTTTATCATTCCACATGAATATATACATACGGAACTTTTCCGTAAAGAAAAGCAACTATAACTATAAAAATTTTATATTGAAAAATCGATATATGGCATGTTTTTACTTCGTACTTTCGTCGCCAAAAAATATTTAGCTTTATTTTGCGGTTGATAAAAAAAATTTTTTTTTGGAATTTTGCGGTAGTTTGAAGTTACAGTCACTGACGAAATCCATAAATCATGAGTTATGAAACCAAGCAAAGGCTTCAAGATATAATACATAGAAATAAATTTGCCAGTATAAATTTTGACTGATTGTCGTTGTTGTTGACATCTGAATAATTGATGCGCTAAACGCTAGATACGCTACTTTTAGAGGAAGCATTTAATTATTATTTTTAAAAGAAATTCTATATTTATTATAAAGTTGGAAAGAAATCGGAAATTCTTTTTAAATGTATTAGAACTCTTTGGTGCTATCATATTTGAATACCTCGTACTTTGAAGTTAGAATGTCGGTTTGAAATAAAAATTATTGTGGTTATCGTGTAAAGAATAATAGATTTGGTGCTTCATGAAATTTGCATATGGGAAGAAAAGAATAAATGATTTCACTTGAGCAAGATTTAGTAATAATTTAATAAAGGAAAAAAATTTTTTAGGCTATTTCGTAATCAAATGAAAGTAAATTTACAATAGAAAGATTAATTCAATAAAATTGATCGAAAGTTTTAAAATGAATTTTGTGCTAGTTTATTTAATTGATCCTTGTTTGGTTATATTGGAGTTTTATGTAGCTGCTGGCTATTTAAGCAGATTTGTTAGGGAATTTGTCTTTTTTTTCTTTTTTTTTAGAGATATGAATTCAAAAACAGTTTTCTTGTTTTATTAACTTTTGGATGCTGGTCACTGACGAGACTCTAATAGAAAGTAACCTAATTAAGGTAGGATATTTGTTGCTATCTGCGAGTAACAATAAAGGGGCATTATAAATTGAACAGGTATTAGTAGGTGACAAACAGTTTTGTCATTTTTAACAATGTTAATTTACACGGTCAAGTTGAAAATCGTTAGAGTTTTGTTTAGGGATTTGTTGTTTCAGTCGTTCCAGTTTTATGTGGAAGTGTGTTAACGGGGCTTATTTGATATGTATGTTTATATTATATGTGTGCTTGTTTGTTTAATCTAGTGAAACAGGAGAACCAGTGAATGACGCGTTAGCGTATGAGTGGATAAATGAGAAGAAGAGAAAAGAAGGCGAGAAAGATAACCTTTTGGGACGTTATGTTGTCGTTTTTTATTTTGCTTTTTGTCTTTCGTTAGTTTTTTTCTTCAGTGAATGCTGCTAGAAGATTGAGGCTGCTTAAAATAAACGAACAAAAGAAAAGCCTTCAGTTGCC